GGTCGCAGGGGGGTGGGGTTGGGTTGAGGGGGTTGGTCGGCCTGCAATCCAAAAGTAAATATTGTATCTCTGCCAGTTTTGTATGTGCGCTTGTGTGTGTGTGTGTGTGGGAGCGCAGTTTTGGCCAAGCAAATGCAAAAAACAGAAGAAGCAACAGCAAAAGCAAAAGCAACGCCATGTTTGCGCACGACGCGACGTCGCTGTCGACGTCGACAGAAAATATGCCAATACCAAAGCCATGCCCCCCGCCCCCAGCACCCGCCACCACCCCCTGCTCTTGCACTCGCCGACACGTCACGCAAAGCGAATTGAGGAAAACAAGGTACCCAGTTGGAAATGGAGGAGAAATAGGCAAGCTTTGCATTTTCTGTATCTGGATTTCATTTGTTAGGCTTATTGATTATATTTTTTTACCCGGAACAAAATACTGTTTTAAAACCTCTATGTACATTAAAAATACCAATGACGAAATGGGAATGTTTTCACCAAATTACAATATTTCTTTCTTTAAAACTAAGTGTGCTAATAAGTAATACTAATACTTTGGCGTCGCAATGGAAAATGTTTTTAAAACCAATTTGCCTAAAAGTGGCTGTGTGACTTACGAAGGCATAACACACCAAATTGTAAAATACTTTCCGCTAATGCTACAGTTTATAAAAGAGCAATTGCCAGCATAAATGCGAACTAAAACAACATAATAAACCGGATTAGAAAAAAATCGCCATCGAATTCGACACGGGGTATAAAGTATTTTCTGCTGTGCTGTAGATGGCATGCTATGCTGGCGTCGTAAATGGAACGATGAACGGCCAGGGCAACAACAAAGCACAGCAAACACAAGCATAGCCGTGCATCTGTGTTGGTGTGTATCTGTGCGAGCGACGGTTGTTGTAGCCTTTCGGTATCTTGCACTCGGATTCGAAATCGGAATAAGCACTATACCCCGCATTATCGTGTACCGTACCGCAAGTGCTCATTACGAATTCACGGCGAGAAAAAAAAAACAGAAGAGAAAAACTGTGCGGATTTTTTCGAGGGTTAATACAAAAAAATATATATTTCAGTGCGCTTTAGAGATTTACTCGCAATGCAAATCTTTCATCTTTCATACCCTTAATAAAATGCCCTTTATTTTTGGTTGCGGCCTCTTTCTCTCTTGCTCGCACACATGAGCGGAGAAATAAATTATGCTCCCTTTTTTTCATAAATGTCGCTTTGAGCATACATTTGCGACTAATTGCGGCAGGGGTGGGTTGCCAAGTGGGCGGGCAGAAAGTAATTGCTATAAAGCTGCGTAATAAGTGCACCTGTCAAAATTATTTCGGTTAAGACATGGGTTTTGCGATGAGCCTGCGTTCTATAATAAAGTAAAAGGTTGTTTCTGGTTAGAGTCCTCTTTGTCTGAGTGTATTAAAAAATTTCGAAAACTTGGGACTCCCAATTCGCATTTTCGATCCAAAAGCTAATGGTTTAGATTTCGGTTGGCTTGCATAACGACGAAACAAGTACCTACAAAAGTTTTAACAAAGATTCTGCTGAATTCAAAACAACTTTTAAGGTTGTAGAGATTTTTTTGGCATCTAGAGTCGATATGGGGTTGAAATCTTATTAAAAGAGAGTTATGAGGCATCCCTGAGAGGACGATTTTTTAATAATTTGATTTACTGTAGCCAAAACAATATTATAACCTATTAACAACTATGAATTCTGTGTTGTTTTCCATTTTATTCTTTTAAATATACTAAGAATCTTTGGCCGAATAATAATAGAGAAAGTGTTAAACATAATTATACAATTTTAAGACCAAAAATGTAAAGAGATAATATTTTTCTTATCAATAAACGCTTGTTTTTGGATTGTGCCCCCTCAATATTTTCGTTATTTGAAAAAAAAAACCTAACAAAAAAGTTCTGAACTCTCCAATTACCATTGCAATTGTATCTGTACTTCATTGAAACCCATTCGAAATTTATTTCCGATTGTAAATTACTTTCTAAGCGCCCGCAAGGTCAATGAATTACCCACAGCCCCCCTTTTTTCTCTCATTACAGCCCATGCAAGCGCAAATGCAATTAGTATCTTGCCACCCAATTCACACCCACCTTACTTCCGTGTATTTGCGTTTGTACTTGCTAACCACACGTACAAAACCACAGAACAGTTGCAACATTAATTATTCATTTTGCCAGAGGATTCTAAAGGATTAGCCCGCAGCCACATCGTGTGTCTGCTTTTCTACGTGGGTAGGTGCAAGTGCAGTTCACATTTTTGGGGACAGCATTTATAATCACTTTCCATACACATTGCAGAGGAAGTCGGGGTCAAAGGGTACTGAAATGAGTTTGTTAAATTATGATACAGAGACAAGGAGCGAAAAGGCAGTGTCGAATGGACATATAAAGGTCGGAAATGCTTAATTTATTCCATACTTATAGCCATTTTTGAACAAAGCTTGAAAGATAAGTGTAATAAAACAAAATAATTATACTAATTTCATTTTCTGAATTTATTTATTCGGGATTAAGTATTATTTTCCTGGCTTACATTTATGCTTATTACTAGTCGAACTTTTACACCATCGGTTTGACTTTTTGGTAACGACTGGTTTAAAAGTTGTAAATTTATATACATTAATTCTGAAGGATCCATTGCGTCCTGGTTTTTGGAAACTATATCTTACAGAACAAATTTCCTAGCAATTAATCAATCATTTTCGTGTCAGTTATTTCTAAGTTTCAGATGACTTGTAAAATGGTGACCCACAATTGGATTTCCAGAGTCCATAACTTTTCAAAATTTCAAATTTTCCTATTTCAAAAGGGCACACATCGTAATGTTCGTCATTTGATTCTCTAAAAATCTGCATTCAAATTTTGTAATTTAACGTTGCGCAAATTTTTAAACCACTTCCATGTTAGTTAATTCTTATTTTACGACGTCTTGTAATAAACTGGCTCAAAATTGGACTTCGAGAGTCCATAACTTTACCAAACTTAATCCGATTCCAAAGTGGCATACCTCTAAAGACTCGTGATTCGATTCTCTAAAAATCTGCATTCAAAACTTTCCATTTAACGTTGATCAAAATTTGGACCCATTTTCATGTTAGTTATTTCCAATTTTCCGATGTCTTGTAATAGAGTGACTCAAAATTGGACTTTGAGAGTCCATAACTTTACCAAACTTAATCCGATTCCAAAGTGGCATACCTCTAAAGACTCGTGATTCGATTCTCTAAAAATCTGCATTCAAAATTTTCAATTTAACGTTGATCAAAATTTTGACCCATTTTCATGTTAGTTATTTCCAATTTTCCGATATATTGTAATAGAGTGACTCAAAATTGGACTTCGAGAGTTCATAACTTTACCAAACTTAATCCGATTTCAAAGTAGCATACCTCTAAAGACTCGTGATTCCATTCTCTAAAAATCTGCATTCAAAATTTTCAATTTAAAGTTGATCAAAATTTTGAACCATTTTCATGTTAGTTATTTCTGATTTTCCGATGTCTTGAAATAGAGTGACTAAAAATTGGACTTCGAGAGTTCATAACTTTACCAAACTTAATCCGATTCCAAAGTGGCATACCTCTAAAGACTCGTGATTCGATTCTTAAAAAATCTGCATTCAAAATTTTCCATTTAACGTTGATCAAAATTTTGACCCATTTTCATGGTAGTTATTTCCAATTTTCCGATGTCTTGTAATAGAGTGACTCAAAATTGGACTTCGAGAGTCCATAACTTTACCAAACTTAATCCGATTCCAAAGTGGCATACCTCTAAAGACTCGTGATTCGATTCTCTAAAAATCTGCATTCAAAATTTTCAATTTAAAGTTGATCAAAATTTTGAACCATTTTCATGTTAGTTATTTCTGATTTTCCGATGTCTTGTAGTAGAGTGACTCAAAATTAAACTGATTTTCCGATGTCTTGTAATAGAGTGACTCAAAATTGAACTTCGAGAGTCCATAACTTTACCAAACTTAATCCGATTCCAAAGTGGCATACCTCTAAAGACTCGTGATTCGATTCTCTAAAAATCTGCATTCAAAATTTAACGTTGATCAAAATTTTACCCCATTTTCATGTTAGTTATTTCCAATTTTCCGATGTCTTGTAATAGAGTGACTCAAAATTGGACTTCGAGAGTTCATAGCTTTAGCAAACTTAATCCGATTCCAAAGTGGCATACCTCTAAAGACTCGTGATTCGATTCTCTAAAAATATGCATTCAAAATTTTCAATTTAACGTTGATCAAAATTTTAACCCATTTTCATGTTAGTTATTTCTAAGTTTTCGATGTAAAAGGGTGACTTAAAAGTGGACTTCTAGAGTCCATAACCTTACTAAAGTGGCATACCTTTGAAGACTTGTGGATTGATTCTCTACGTTAATAAAGTTTTTAACCCATTTTCTTGTTAGTCATTTAAATTTGTATGGTAGTTATTTCTAAGTTTCCGATGAATTGTAGAAAGGTGATCCAAAATTGAACTTCTTAAGTCCATAAATTTACCAAATACCGCCTAAGACTTGTGGTTTGATTATCTAAGAATATGTATTTCAATTTGGAATTTTATCGTTGATCAAATATTTGGTTACCCACAATTTAACTTTTAAAATCCACCTGGTTTGATTATCTAGTAATATGCATTCAAAAATATTTGCTGCAGGTAGTATAAATTTTCGTACTTGATGTTTAATTTATTTAAATAAATATCGGTCAAATTTCTTGTACTAACGGCAAGTTAAAATTATGTTTTAAACTGTCAAATCTGTGACATTGTCTGAGCGGAGTTCAAATAATCCATTCTTAAATATTATTTTACACAAAAAGTCATTATAATGGCATAATACGTAGACATAATTTCAGGCAATTAAGACAACTTGTTGATGGGATTTTAATTGCTGAACTTTGTAATAATGGATTTTAAAAGAGTTTAACTTAAACAATAATTTCAAATATAATTCAGTTTTCGTGAATACATTAAGATGAGTAGAATCCTATATATTCTCGCTGCCGGTATTATCTACTTAGTCATAGAGGTACAGTTCATACAAATGAAAACTTTACCAAAAACATATTTTTAAGCTCTACATTTCAGGTACATTCTCTAGTTGAGTTCACGAATATAAAATGTCAATCAGTGGATAAGAATTTTTCCGATTTCGAGTATTGCCACTTGAAATCTGTGAACCGGACCTACAAATACATTTCCTTGAAGGTTAATCTCTTCAAAATTCCCGTGTCCAAAGTTAAGGTATGTGGTGAAAAAATTTAATATTTACAAAATTCCTAAAACTTTTAAAATGTGTTTCAGGTTAATATCGAACTTTTAAAACGGTTCAATGGCTATAAGCCGTTTCTCTACAATGTAACAGTTGATGGCTGTCAATTCCTCAAAAAACCAAAGTCAAGTCCAGTTGCTTTTTACTTTTACAATTTCTTTAAAAACGTTTCCAACATAAACCACTCTTGCCCTTACAACGTAAGTACAAAAACAAGTAACAAGTAACATTTAATTTTTTATTATATCTTTTTTAGCATGACCTAATGGTAGACAAGCTATCAACACAACATGTAAATTATCAATTTACCAAAGTTCTGCCCTTTCCGGAGGGAGACTATATGTACAAAATGAATTGGATGGCATATGGTATTAACCGAGCTGTTGTTGAAGTATATTTTTCATTTTCGTAAACAAAAAAATGTTGTATTCGTTTAGTCAAATGAACCATCCATTTTATTAACGATTTTAGAATTTAAAAAAAAACAAAAAAAATATATAATCACCACAGTTGTTCAACTTGAATAGGTTTAAATTTAGATAAAACAGCAGCTTTGTTTCGCATGCTTGGTTCTTAAAATAGAGCTCACGATAATGGCTCTATATTGAATGGATAATGTCGTGGATACCTTACATATTTTATCAAAAATATTTAAGTAGGAAAATATGCTCTTTTATTTTTATATGAGTTCTTATGTATTTTATATCCACTTTCACTCTTTTCCACTTTTCACTGTTTCAGAAACATATCTAGGTAATTTAGAAAATATTTTAATGGGTATTTTGTATTTCGATAGTAATAAGTCAATGTTATGGCTCTATTATATATTTTCGGTATATTTAATGGTTTAATTTTGGGCAAAAATATTATAATTGCTCAATTTTGTAATAATGGATTTTAGAGAAGTAAACTTAAAACAATAATGTAAAATATAATTCAGTTCTCGTGAATACATTAAGATGAGTAGAACAGGATTTAAGGATTTTTCCGATTTTGAGTATTGCCACTTGAAATCTGTGAACCGGACCTACAAATACTTTTCCTTGAAAGTTAATCTCTTTAAAATTCCCGTGTCCAAAATTAAGGTATGTGGTGAAAAAATTGAATATTTCTACAATTCTTAAAACTTTTAAAATGTGATACAGGTTAATATCGAACTTTTAAAACGGTTTAGTGGCTATAAGCCGTTTCTCTACAATGTAACATTTGATGGCTGTCAATTCCTCGAAAAACCAAAGTCAAGTCCAGTTGCTTTTTACTTTTACAATTTCATTAAAATCTTTTCCAACATGAACCACTCCTGCCCTTACAACGTAAGTACAAAAACAAGTAACAAGTAACATTTCATTTTCAAGTATTTTTTTTAGCATGACCTAATTGTGGACAAGCTATTAACACAGCATGTAAATTATCAATTTACCAAAGTTCTGCCCTTTCCAGAGGGAGACTATATGTGGAAAACGAATTGGATGGCGTATGGTATTAACCGAGCTGTTGTTAAATTATATGTTTCATTTTCGTAAAAAAAATTAGTTTTTGTTAAGCCAAATAAACAATAATTAACGATTTTCAAATTTATAAAAAATAAAAGTAAAATAAAATTTATAATCACCACAGTTGAGCTACATGAATAGGTTTAAATTTAGATAAAATAGCAGCTTTGTTTCGCATGCATGCTTCATAAAATAGAGCTCACGATAATGGCTCTATATTGAATGGATAACATTATTTTTATCAAAAATATTTAAGCAGAAAAATATGCTCTTTTTTTTGTATCGAGTTCTTACGTATTTTTTATTCAATTTTAAATGTATTAGAAACATATTCATTAGAGATTATTGTAATGGGTATTTTATATTTCGATAGTAATAAGTTAATGTTAATGGCTCTATTATATCTTTTCCAGATATTTAATTGTTTTGTTTTGTGCAAAAATATTTTGTTAATCATTTTTTGATAGCGTCGAGCTATATTAAATATAAATCATGTCTCGTGGGTCCTTCAATACCCTAATATGAATAGAAAACCTTTTTCCAGTGAATATCAACTTGGTCACAAGGGTACAAAATCCATATATATACCTGTTCAAAAAATCTATAGTTAAGATTTACGGTAAACTCACAATACTCACAATTTTCGAGTGCCAATGGTCGCGTTGACCACTTTATAAATGATTTAGCGAATAATCCTTTCCTATACATTTTATTGTTCTGCATAAGCTAACAACAGATTACTTAAATAACAGATTGGCTAATGTTCTGACTGTTCTAATTGCACTGGATGATGAATAATATTAGGCAAAAAGTCTAAATATATTTATCACTTTCATAAATGAAGTTTATTGTTTAATAAATTATTTTTAAATAAATTACTTTTAAGTGTTATTCAGAACGTGAACCTTGAAAATGTGTTTGCTAATTTTTAATCACTTTTTTTCTATGAATAAACAGTAATTCTGGTTTAAACAGCATTAATAAGTCGAAGCTTTTATTAGTTCATGCGTAACAAAAATAAAAATAACGGAAAAAGAAGCTAAATTTGGCAAAAATCGTATCTCCTATAATAAGATCTAATATCATGTGGTTATTGGTCAAAAATTTGTAATCGACCAGAATCATTAGGCGATTTTAAACATTTTTGAATTTTCTACAATTTTTAACTTTTATGTTTTTATGGTTTTTTTGATTTGTTGAAATCTGTCATATATCTGCAATACTGGCCGTGTGGTTTATCCTATTACCTTTTCCTCGCAGTTTCTGACCTTCTAACTCGTTTTTTTTATGATTTGGATTTTAATTACAGTAATAAGTACAAAACAAAGACTAAGAATTTTCTATTAAACATTTACAAAATTCACCAAATTAATAAAAATCAAGAACAAGAAACAATAACTAGTTTTCAATATATTCTACCTGTAAGAGATCTAAATTATAAACATTTAAACATTTACTTATTATGATAACAAAAAATGTTAACACTTTCTAGGGTTGTATCTTCTGAATTTCCATAAGATTTCCCTTAGATATATCTATTCAAAACTTTGCCAGTAGAACAGTTTGAGGACTAGTAGAACAGTATTGGTCTATAAAATGGGTTTTCGTAAGCCGAAAACAAAATTTTCGATTTTTTACAAGTATTGCCCAATATTGAGACAAACTTATTGTATAAGTCCTGAAACGATTCCTAAAATAATAAATGTACATTTGTATGAATATAAAAGTTTCACTGATTTTGGGCGTTGAAGTAAAAAATCTGCACTTCGACCCGTTATATGGACATATATATTTTAAGTCCAGTTAGCACTTCAAATTTCAAAACAATTTGGATAATGCTCTTTGAAAATGTGTGGAAAATGGGGTGTCACGTCACGGACTTGTTTGTACCATCATTTATCTTCGTCATTCGATCAAACGTGATGCTCGGCAGTAAATTGTCCCCTTTTTGTTCTTACGTAAAAGCGAGCATGAAACATTTTGTGTGGGACGTGCGGCAAATTATTCAAGGATAATGGCAAAATCCTTTGAAATGCAAATTTGAGGACATCGTTTTTTTTGTTTTTACCATTTTTCTCAACGAAAAATCAAGTTGTGGCAAATGATGCGAACAAACGCACTTTGCATATGGCCAAAAACAGGTTCGCCGCGGATTTCAACAAAATGAAATGCCAGCGGCGGGACAAAAAAAAAAGCAAGATGAGGAAAAAAGCGGCAAAAACGGGCATTTTTGCGTTAATTATAAACGCCAAGGCCAATACACGGGCACACTGCACACGCACATGCATACATATGTGCGTTAATCTCTCTCATTTGACAGTTGGATTCAATTAGGAACGCCGCCACCCACACAGGCACATATAAGCCGCGTTCGAGAGAGTGCAACGGAGATGGCCTGCTGACTCCACGCGCCCCGCTTGCCATCCCGCTCGCGCAGAGACGCGGTAGGCCAGTTACTATTTCTTCTCTCGTGCGCACTCGTGTGGCTCTCTCGTGTCCGCCTCTCTCTCTCGCGCGGGCGTAAAAGAGCGAACAGCGCTTTTCGGGCAGCGACAGCGCCAGCAGGTCTAATCAGAATCAGTCTGTGGAAACTTTTCGTGCCGTGCACTTTGTGAAACGGAGAATAATTTTAACGTGGCTCGCGCTCAAAACGTAAGAGGGAGAGGGCGCGAGAGTGTGCGACAGAGAGGCAGTGTAAATCTTTGCGTGTACGAGAAATCGATAACAGCAGCTGAAGTGGCTAAAGAAGGAGAAGAAGAAGCAGAGTAATCGAAAGCGCGTGTGTGGGTGTCGGCAAATGGATTTATTTTAATGGAAAATCCAAAAAGAAAATGATCTGGAGGAAAAATCTTTAAATAACGACGCAATTGCTTTGAGTACGTATTTGGGGAAAATCAAAAAAAAAACAAGAAAATTTCCCTCTGCCTGTGTATGTGTGTGTACGAGTGAAAATTTTGTAAACACAGTTGACTTGGTGTGCGTGCGTGTTGTTCTCGCCGTATTGGAATTTTCGTCGCACGGCGAGAAAAACGCGACAAGGCGGCGAAAATGCGCCCGCGCAAAAGTAGAAAGTTTATTTGCCGTCTCTCTCGCCGCGGCGAATAGATACAAATTTGTGTCGTGCGCTCTCGTCTCCACGGCGAATTGACCGAAGTGGCAGTTGGATTTCGTCGACGTCTCGAATTGGATTTCAGTTGAACTCTGGACGCGGCCGCGGGAAATTCGTTCCCCAGTTGTTAGGATTGTTTTTCGTACGCTTCGCCCATGTTTTCGTCTTTTTTTGTGAGTCTTGCCAGCTTGTTGCGTGTGTGTGATAGAGAGAGAGAGAAAGAGAGTGGCAGAGAAAAGTGCGAGTGTATGTGTGCAACCACCCTGCGGGCGCTCGTGCCGGCCTAACTGTAATTGTTGTTATTGCCGACACTTTCAAGCTGTGACCATGTGTGTGTGAGTGCGCGCCTTTTACGAAATTGCGGCGTATAAACAGAAAGCGGGAAAAGAAAATCAAGAAGAGAGCTCGCCAGCGACGTCATCAATTTCACAGCGTCATTTTCCAGCTGAGTGGGCGTGGGCACACCCACACCACCACCCACTTTTCGGCTTACTTTTAGTTCAAGCCGCTCGGCCTTTTGTTTTTGTTTTGTTTGCCCTTTTGTTTTGCTAGCACAGCCTCCGTCGTTCTTCTTTTTCCCCCTTCTTTCCCATACTATCTCCCCTTTTTCGTGCCATTTTCGCGTGAGCGGCAAACGAAAAAGAATTAAAAGGCTTCGGAGACAAAAAATAGGCGAAGCGATGCGACTTTTGGTTGCGCTTTGCGGTGGGTGGTGGGCTGCTTTTCGGGCAGCTGTGGGATTAATAAGTGGTTTTGAATAATATTTAGTTGTATAATGAATAATACATTGCCAACTTTCAGTCACAATCTTCAAGTTTTCTAAAAACTATAAAAGCAACTTTTTAAGAGTAAAAAACGTAATCTTAGACAAACATCCATATATTTTGAATTTACCTTAAAGGTAACGGAATTCGCATTTATTTAAAATGTTCTTTTTAAAAAGCTAGTTTAATATCTATTTTTGAAAATATTGCTTAATTTCATATACCTTAAACATCTTGTTAGGAAATACACTTAAGTTTATTTGAAATAATTTAATGCCATAGTTTGGTTTTCAAAGCAATTCAAATAGTTATGCATTTAATAAATTTGACAACCAAATATGGATAACCTTTAAAGTTTTAATTAATTACATTAAATTATTATAAATTAAGAGTTGCAAATCAGTATAATTTTACAAATTGATAGTTCAAATAACAAATGGTCTATCTATTATAGAACCCTTTTCTGTACTTTCAAAAATAACTACAAAATAATAAAAAATATGATATTTAGTAAAGTTATAAGTTTAAATTTGTTGATTAATTATTGATAATAATCACACAGCTTGATATTCAGATAAATTATAAGTTTAAATGGGTTGATTGATTACTGCTTATAATCAAAGAGTTTTAAATGTTTTTAAAGTTTTAGAAACATGAAAGTATATCGAGCTATTCCTAGCAACCTTTAACTCCAGGTCTTCATACAACCTGCTGATCCACGATGCCCTGAACCTTGCCCTGAACTCTCGGCAGCCTGCCATCAACTCGTAATCATCGTCAGGGCATCGCCATAATGATGGAAATTCAGTTTCCCCTGGTGTTCAGGGCACAAAAGCGTAATTTTCGTAGTTTTATGGGAAGTGTGGGGAGTGGGTGGGTAGCGGGGGGTGTGGAGGGGAGGAGAACCAAGTAGAGAAGGGGCGCCAAGCTAAAACTAGCTTCAAGTACACCGTCGAGTGCACATCGCTTTCTGTGTTTTTCTCTCGGCTTTTCTCGGCTTCTCTCGTTAGGTGCCCTCTGTGGCACGAAGGGCGAACGAAAAACCCCACCTCCCAAATAAAGTACCCCCCACCCCCCTAACCCACCCACAAAGTTGCTACTTTTGTGCTCTTCTTTTCCATTTTTTTTTTTATTCATATTTTTGTGAGCTTGTAGCACATTGTTCCGATTCATGGATATGGATGGCTGCCTTACTAGTCTAAAGTTTTCTGTTCTGTATTGTGCGAGTGTGCTGACGTTGCCGTATCTTTTGGGACAAGATACAGATACACGGTTGATATATCTGGGCTCTGTGGCTTTCAGTTGACGAGCGACGACCACAAATGTCGACAACGATGATGGTGATGTGATGATGGTTAGGCGATGGGATTGTGCTGGCTGTTGGTTCTCACAGTTGTGTGTCTTTTTCCTACTTTTTGTTTGGCCATTGTTAACCGCTCTCCTCTAGCCTTTGTCATCATTATGGGGGGACCTCAACAGTTGATTAGCCATCATCAGTTGTCACTTGTCACTTGTTGAGCACATGCCATACATGGAAATTCCGCCCCTTAACCCCGATCTCTGTCCCTTTTTCAGGACCCCAAAAAAGAGGCTACTACAAGTTAGGATTGAAAAGTAGGCAGGAAGATGCACCTGCAAAATACGCACAAAACGGTGGAACCAAAGGGCTCGCATTCCGACATGGATTCCGCATCCCCAGCATCTCGGGATATCCGTCAGTTCCATGATCTAGTAACATGCCGACTTTGTCGCGGTTACATGATCGATCCAACCACAGTGGATTTTTGCTATCACACATGTAAGTCATTTTATATAAGGAATTAACAAACTTTGGTTCGGATTACACTATTGGTCTGGGGGTATTTAACCTTTAAAATTTGTATATATGTTATCAAACACATAATTAACTTTGATTTTAACAAGTTTTAAGGTTAAGGTTTTCATAAGAATGGTAAATCTTTATTATTTTCCATTTAAAACTCGATCTACATTATATGTTACTCTTATTACTAAATTATGTGTAGATTGTCCTTAACAAATAAACATCATAAAATATGAAAGTCGTTTAACTTCCGTAAATGGAATTCTTCTGACTTATTGCAAAGCACCAACAAAAATTCTTTTATTTTCATATTTTAGTTAAATGATATATGTAGATGATTATAGCTTGTCTTAGACCTTAAATATAACCTCTATTATTTGGTCCCTCCTACAATTTCTCCGCAGATTGTCGCAGTTGCATACTGAAACATCTGCTGAGGTCAGTTTACTGTCCGGATTGCAAGGCCAGTGGCGGCAAGGAGATCAGCGAACTCAATCTTAAATCGGATGATACTTTGCGATCGCTGATCTATAAGCTAGTTCCGAATCTCTATCGAAGGGAGTGCAAGGAATTGGCGGATTTCGAGGAGCAACATGAGGATTTGGTGGATGAAAAAACGTCTCACGAACAGGAGTTCTTCACCACCACGGAACTTGTGAGGTAAGTAAAGATAAGAGGAGGAAAGTCATGTCAAATCAATCAGTTAATCAAATTCTTGGCTTCCATTTTCTCTCTATTTAACAGCTTATCCCTGGAATACCATCCCGCCATGCTGCATCAGTGTGGTGCGGGCGAGGTACCACCCACCATTTACCTGCAATGTGCCGCTGGGTTGCGGGTGGAGCTGCTAAAACGCTTTTTGTGCACCAAGTACAACATTGAGGCGGAGAACAAGCTGGTCGAAGTGGAGGTCACCTATGAGGACGAGGTGCTGCCCTCCAATTTCACATTGATGGATGTTGGCTACTGTTACAAATGGAGTCGGGTAAGTGACATTTTTATTCATATTATACCCTGCACAGAGAAAATAAGGGGGCATACTCTTGTTTTTTTTTTAATGTGTGAAAGATTTTCTTATAATATAATAATGTAAAGTAGACTTTAGTTCTGGAAAGATATTAATTAAAGAAACCCTGAATACAAATAAGTATTTTTACACATTATTTAAAATATATACTACTTACTTATGTATGTTTTGTTATATTAGAAAGTTAATAGGGTTTCAAAATAGGAAAATATCCCAAATATCTAAATATCCTAGTTTAAAGGAAGTAACTAAACAAAACAAACCAAACCATTAAACAAATTAACTTTTTGTAAACACTATAATTTTAAAGTTTTTCACTTTGGTAGGGAAAACAGGGTTGAAAATCACACTTTGGCTTGCGGCATTTCGACTGTCAAAGTAGACCTTAAAACATATCCATCTTATCGTCTTTGGTCAGTTTTAAGTATGAAATCCGCCCTTTTTTCCTCTGTGTGGGTCGTCTATTGTCCCTTTTTGTGGTTTATCTCAATTACCCGATAGATTTTTGGGTAAGGGGAAACCCAATCCAATTGTGCCGGCAGTTTAGCGTTCAATGTCCACTTTCAATTTTCCACCCTTGTCAACCTGCCCTTTTTTTCCCATCTATTTCTCCCCTCTCCGAATCCATTTAGCAATCGCCCATGGCCTTCTGCTACCGGATTCTGCTCTACGAGAGCGAACGGGCAAAAAACGATGAGAACAACCTATCCAGGATTAACCAGGACATTGAACCGGAGCACCCGATGCGTCGCCCCAAGTCGGCCAAATCGGTGACCTTTGCCGAGGACCTGGAATCGGAAATGGATTCTGGTTCTGCGCGTTCCAAGGCGCGAAGTAAGACCTCGCCGAAGGTTTCACCCTCCTCGAAGAATAAGCGTGTGACCACAAGTAAACGGGAACCGGAACCAGAGAGTCCTGTTAGCACCTTCAAGAGCCTTCGCAGCAATGATATGCGCTACAGCGATTACGCCGTATCCAAAGTTAAAAGTGAACCGGAGCTGGAGCAGGATCTGCCGCCAAGGGAACTGGAACAGCAACCACTGGTGGCCAACACGAATATAGTGGTCAGCATTCCTCCTTCGCAGTTGGGAAAATCCTACAGCGATGCGGAGAATTTCGAGTTGAAGACAGCAAATCGAAAGGGAGTGGGCCATTTGCCCAAGCTAAAGATCGAACTGAATAGCATGAAGAGCAAGCTGAGTATGCCTCTGTCGGCTGGACCGCGATTGGAGGATACCTCCTCATCATCAGCCCAACAACTCGATCTGGAGACTTATGCCAAGAACATTGGCCTGAAGCCGATTGAGCAGCCTTTAGTTCAAAGTGTTTCAACTCCCGATAGCAAATTCAGTCCCAATGCCTCTCCCATGTCCTCGTGCTCCAGTTCGACCAATGGTTCCAGCTGTAGTTTGGGCACTGCCGATGCCAGTACCTCGACGACCACGTCCAGTTCGCATCGCAAGCGCAAGAAGAAGCACTCCAAGGAGCCAAAGGATGCGAATGGTAAGCGCAAGAAGTTGCACGCGGAGATCTCCTCGCAAACGGATGGCAAGATGAAGGTGAAGATCACGGCCAAGCCGAATCACAAGTTCGATTTGAAGAGGTCTCATTCGCTGGCCAGTGGTGAGTTGGCTTTGCAGCAGCTGAAATTGGATAGTACCAGCACTTCGGAGGCACTTAATCGCACGTTGGGGGAGGAGGCAAGAAGTATCAGCAGTTTGGTGGCAGGTGGAGCACCCACGCCCCCGCCCACGCCCACAACGGAACCGGCGGAGCAGCAGCAACAGCAACAACAACTACAAAAGATGGTGATGGCGAGAAGTAAGGACTTAATCCTGCCCACATCGCCACCTTTACCGCCCAGTTTGTTCAAGGCCTATACACCCAGCACAACGCCTTCTCCTCCAGCCACTGTGGCGGGAAAACCCAAGCAACAGCAACAGCAACAGCAACAGCAACAGCAGCAGCAGCAGCAGCAGCAACAGCAACAGCAACAGCAACAGCAACAGCAACAGCAACAGCAACAGCAACAGCAACAGCAACAGCAACAGCAACAGCAACAGCAACAGCAACAGCAGCAGCAGCAGCAACAGCAGCAGCAGCAGCAACAGCAGCAGCAGCAACAACAGCAGCAACAACAGCAGCAACAACAGCAGCAGCAGCATCAACAAACCCCTCAGCAACATCAACCTGTGGCACAGCAAACCCTAGCTAAAACCAACCCCGCCAAACCACCACTGAGCAGCAACATGCAACGCAAGCCATCGGTGGCCGGTGGACACTTTGTGGTGCCACAAGCACCCACCAACCGGAATATGTACCATATGCAACGCTACCTGTCCACACCCAGTTCCATTGCCAGTTCGGCCAACAAGCAGCCCAAGCGATCGCTCTCCGTGGACGAATCGTATCCGGCCAAGCAGGCGAGACTGAATCAGGCCCAGGCGATGGCCAGCTATGCGGCCAAGTTTCAGATGCAGAACAATAATCAGGCCAAATCGCAGGCGGCCGCTTTTTTACCCAATCCCCAGATGAGATCATATGGCCCAGAAATGGTCAATAAGCCAGCGCCACCACTTTTTTGTCCCCCCAACTTGAGTTTATCCCTGCCGAGTACGGCTCAAGTGACGATTACGCCGGCGGCGGCTTATACCTTTCCAGAGGCCAACAGCCATGTGCCAGCGTTGGAAATAGTGCGATTGTCTTCGAATAAACAGGGAGGAGGAGGTGGGAAAAACCTAACAATGCCACCTCTCAGCCCGCCGGCAAGTTCGGGTGGCCGCCTGATGGGACCACCAGCGGCTTTGCCCAAGCAACAAGGACACAGTGCGGCCAAGAGGAGCAGCCAGTCGCCGCCAATGCCCCTGCCGATGACCACGATTCCAACGATTGTCAAGTCGCCGCCGCTGTCAGTTGCTCTTAGTGGGCAAAGGAGCAGCAAATGCCACTCCACAACCAACTCCAATGCTTATCGCACATCGCCGCCTGCATTAATAAATCTGCGCAACAACACGGCCGCTCCACACTCGTTTCCATCAAAGTCGAGCCCAAAGGTAGAAGCCAATTCAAAGAAATCCCCGCCAGCTGGCTGCCAAAGCAAAGCCAATGGCACTGCCGCATTATTGGACAAGTCGAAAACGAGTTTGCGCGAGTTTCGGCCGGCAGTAACAACAACAACAACGGCAGGAGCAGCAGCGGGAACAACGGGAGCAACCTCGGCATTAGCCAAGGATGCCGACATACTTGATTTATCAGCTAACCCGGGAAGGAATAGCAACAGCAGCAGCAACAGTACCGCCAAATTGGCGCCCACATCACCGCCCGCGGGCAACAACATTTCGAGCAACAACAGCCTGGAGGCAGCCTTAAACAAAATCAAACAGAATATATCCGCCAACAGCAATGGTGGACCGACGACCACAGCGGTCAACTCGAATGGGAACAGCAGCAGCAGCAGCAACGGCGATGATCTACAGAATTTGCAAATGCTCTCGGACTCGGCAACGTCCAGGGAGAAGATCTCCATAAAGACGGCCAGCAGCAGTGCTAGTACTGCCACCACCACTAAGCCCAAGAATGCCAATGCGTTGGTGAGACCACAGAATGCTTCTGTACGGAGCATACCCAATCCCTCGGCTCTGGCCTTTCGCAATCAGCCGGCAGCAGCGGTGGCAGCCACTACAGCAGCTGCCATCACTAAACCACTGACTGTGCGAGCCGAGGAAAAGTCCAAGATGTCCACGGGTAATCCGGGATTACTTAGCCCCACCAACAGCAGCAGCAGCAGTAGCAGTAATAGCAACTCTGGATGCAGTGCAGCCACATCGCCGCGGGCAATGACCAAGAAACCCACGACCATTGATCAAGTGGCAGCCCATTTGAATATTCGAGCCGAGGCCAAAGCCGCTGCCCTCGCCGAAGAGGCGCCACCCGTACTCAGTTGCAATGCGGCCAAATCGCCGGAATTGGCCAAAACCACGACAAGGACGGAGCCCAAGGAGACGGCCATTACCGTTTCGGCGGCCAGCACCCTGCTGCCCATGCCTTCCGGCGTTTCTGGTGTGTCCGGCGTACCCGAATCGCTGGCCAAGCCGCCCGTGCAGATTGCCAATGCTCCGGTGGCGAGTTCCGCTTAGTCACAAGGTGAGTGTCACTGCAATTCAAGTTGTATTTAGGTTAAGAACTTGAGATATGCGATGTCATTAGGACCATAGTCATCCTTTATCGATTATCCAATGTTAAGGTTTAGTATTTTTCATACATAAACGACAATGATCCACGATTTGGCTAAACTTGTTACTACCAAATAAAAAAGATCCGAAAAATTTCCCATCCTTTCTTACTTAATCAGTTTATCAGAAAGAGAATATGAAAAATTACATTTTCAAAAGTGTTTTTGAACGGCCAAGAATATTTGTTTTATTAGATTTTGGAACTTTTATTAGAACTCCTTCATTTTCATGAATAATTTTGTGATTAGTGCTTGAGTCATATATTTGTTTATAAAAAGTTCTTTAAGAACCCTGAATTTGTTTTAGTATCAGCGTAAATTCTTAAATAACTTGAATCAAGTGCTTGTTTTTAACCCTTTTTTTTTAATTTTTTTATGTTTTTATTAACTTTAAGAGCTCGTTTTTATATCAACTTTTTTGAATGAGTCTTCTTTACTGAATTTGAATTTTTTTTTAATAAATGATTTCTTGTTAATTACTATATTTTTCCGTGTAACATTTAATATTTATTGTTATTTTATATCTTATCTCGTTTAAATAATCTTTACTTATCTTCTGGCTTTAATTTTTCTTTTGATGGCTTTTCTGTTTAACGATCTATTATGACCTTTTAAACTCTACGCTACATTAGCAAAGCAAACTCTTTGTTTGAAGCCAACTTTCCACAACTTTTCAACTCTCTAACTTGGCTAGTTCTTCTTCGCGTTTCTTCTTTCCCACTTCCTTTATGAGTTGGCCATATAATTTTTCTTTTTGGCGCATTTCCCACACTTGATGGAATTGAGACTCAAATTATACAAATTACATTTCGTGTTTTGCGTTTTCTTGCCTCGTTTTTTGTTGTTATTTCTTTTCTGTTTTGGCTTTTCTCAAGTAGTCATTATACACAAATAATGTATCTTCTTCTACTTGTACTCTCGCTCTCTCTTTCTTTTTCCCCCGCTCGTCATCCATCTCCCTCTCTATTTTGTCGTTCGTCACTCGGCAGCGGTCGTGGTCGGTCATTCATACGACGCTTTGCTTTTATTTTAGACGTTACTACACTGAGTTTTGACTTTTTCCCTGTGTTTTTTCCTATACTCGTTAATCGTAGAGTAGAAAGGGTATATTGAATTCGTACTAATGTTTGTAACATGAAAGAAGGGAGATTTTTTTCTGCTCTTTAAAGGATATATATTCTATGTCTAATTTAAACACATGTTGGTATATCATTTTCCGTCCGTACGTTTGAACATATGATATTATAAAACCTACGAGTACCACACTTATTTTAATTTTAGCCATGCCCTTTTGTGGCCCCAGAATCAGCAAAATATTATATCCTAATACTATATCAGATTTATGATGATAGAAAAAAATATTGTAAATTTGATTATTTTTTAAAAAAAGAAACCTTAAAAGCACTTTTTAGTAAAAGCCCAAGATCAGTGAGTAATAAGTATCTTGTAGTCCCAACTCTAAACATTTTTGATGCTAGAAAACTTTTTTTTTTAGTATCAACCCATTTACCAAATATTATATAAATTGCATTATCTCTCAAAAAAGGCTACCGTAAAAAGTAGTTTTTAAATAAAAATCCATGATCAACGAGTAATAAGTACCTCATAGTCTCAACACTAAATGCTGTTTATTTTCATTTTGTTTTTTTTTTTATTTTGGCTTTTGGTTTTTGCGCCTTCCCTACGATTCGTGTTTGGTTTTTTTTCTGTTTTTGTTGGCCTTTTAATGAACATCGGCCGAGTAGAGTCATTACATCATTTTGTATTTTCACCCATAGAAAGGCGAATAACATTTTCATTCATTCTTCGTTTCTTTTCGTATCTTTTGCAGCGTTTCTTTGGCTGTGCGGAACGCAAATGTATCTTGTGGCGCCACTGGAGAATCTACAGAATACCGACAACATCTGAGGTGATGAAAAAGAAACAAAACAACAGCAACAACAACAACAACAAAAGAAACACAGCAACACCTGCAGCACAAGTTTTACTAACCTCGCTCCCGAAGAAAAAAGTGCAATTTAATTAATCAGTAGAACGATCGTAAGCCTTAGAACTAACCCGAAATACACTCAACGCTAAGCAATATCTACACATGCCAACAGAATGTATCTGTTGGATAGGGAAACCGCATCATTTGCATATACGCAAACATTTGCAATCGAATTAGTACGCGACTAAATAAATAATCCAAGCAAATTTCAAAAATGCCATCAACAAAATTCATTAATAAATATTCCAAGAGAGACCGAGACAGAGAGAGAAAGAGGAGCGGAGAGGAGAGGAGGAGAATAATAATCAAAAGCGCTGGCGTTCGCTGGCATTTTCGAAAGCAGGCGATGGCAACAACAAAATTAATTATAAAATATCAACAGCAAATATGTGTTAAACCGAGATAAGGTCACACACAAACACATGCCTTTAATAGATAGATCTTCGGTTGGCTTTTTGCTTTTTGGGGAAAGTCCAAACGAAACCAAACAAGAAAAAATTAAATAGCAAATTATTTTAAAATGGGCGATAGTAAAACTCTTTTTGAAAACAAAATATAAAAAAACCAACGAAAAAAAACCACAAACTGATAGGAAAACGAAAATCGCATCAGGAATATTTGATTACACAGTGAGTGCCGAAAGTGTTTGGCCCACACCCTTCGGAAAAACTGCCACGAAGTGTGAAAATTCGGTGGTGGTGGTGGCTAGATTGTTCAGAACGGAACACACTCGCACATAGCGAAAGATACAGCCCGATACCCGATACACACTCACGTTCTTCATCGGGGCGATAAAATTTTAACGATTTTGCGCCGCTTTGAGCGAGCGTGTCAGGCATAAAGATACAAAACAATACTTGGGCATATAAACAAAAGCAAACAAAAACGGAATAATGAAAATAACAAACTCGCACTGGCACACATGCGTATATTTATATACATATACCCAAATATACATATATCTTGTAGATACTTTTTCGTATTAGTTGTTTAAGCAAGTTACGTTTAATTGCAGCACGAACTTTGTACATAAATTTAAAAATCGAAGCCAGGCAAAAAACAAAAAAAAAAACGAAAAACAAACAACCCAGCACCCTGCACTTGGAAATGAATTTTAATTTTTAGAGCTTCGACCAAATGAAATACTATATATACACACAAACACGCATTATACAGATATCGCGATATACTCCTTCTTATATTTACGATTTTCGTACACTCGAAAAAGGCTTTAGGTTTTCGTATTTTTATTCTCTTCTTGCTCTTAGCTGATATTTTTTGTTTTGTTATTTATACATATATTGTCTGTACATATTTTAAGCGAAGAAAGAATTATAAAGTTTATGAGGGAGGAAGGGAAACACTAAATTGTATGAGTTTCATAGAGGAATAGCTGGATTGTAGAATGGTGGTAGAGCCACCCCCTGATTTATCCGTATCTTTTTGCAACCCCCTGTTAGTTCACAACATCCCTCGTGATCGGCGAGAAATTAACATAATTTCCAGGCAATCAAACAAATTGAAAGGCCTCGGATCGACCTCCAGCTATTCCAAACACTTTGGCTCGACTCCTGATTGTTGTATATTTATTTATTCCTATTATTGAGATATATACAAAAATATATATAAATATATCTAGTTGTATATGTGAAGGCTTTGATCGGAACGCTCGACTTATTTAAGCGGATATTGTACTGTTCGGACACCTTAACTAAATAAACCTATGAATACTTAAATATAAAGCATATATGTTTAGAAATCTGATTGTATGCACCGTCTGTATGTAATATTGTTAGAAAACCCTCGAAATGTAATCCAAAACAAACACAAACACACACAGACACACACACACACCCCTCACACACTAAGTTAAATTAGCTGATTTTTGAAAACAATAAAAACATGAAAATGGAACACAGTGTATAACAAATACGAGTGAGGTCTTATATTTTTATGGGCTGTGGATAAATCAGAGCGCACGGCGTCGTCGGCGTCGACAGAAGGTGTCGCCTCGACCGAAGGAAGTCGGCTCGAGTTACAGACCCATCGTTCACATTGCACCATCGCTCCTTCGCATCCCCCCACCACCCCCTGCCCACCCAACCCTCGGGGTCCACAAATCACCGATGTCTTCTTGCCACCCCCGCTCGGCCCGGAGTTACTTGTTGGCATTGCGGATTTCAACGCTTTTCATGCCTCATAAAGGAGTGGGTGGCGGTGGGCGAGCACTTGCCGGAAACATATGGCAGCACGCTAAAACCAAAGCCCTTTGTCACCGCTCCTGTCCACTGCACTGCAAACAATTGCGGTTTTTTCATATTGAGGTTTAAAGAAATGAACAGCATTAAGTTAACGTACAGAAAACACCTTATATACGATTGGTGTTTCCACTTACAACTCTTGTTGGTAAGTACATACATATGTGGAGGAGGGCTAAGAAATAAATTAATTTTCTATTCAATTTCATATTACAAAAAGGTGTCAAAAGGTAAATTTAAAGTTGGGCTGTTCCAGAATGGTCTGGAATTACATCAAACTTGATAACAACTTTTTAGTACATTTCACATATATTTAAAAAGAAAATTTGTATAATTTTTTCATCCTTTTATCAATTACAATTAAAGGACAGATATACATCTATTACATTATTATCTACTATTATCTCAGGATAACTTTCAAAAGTGTAATCCCGGCAAGGTCTGCACATTTTTCCAGTGTGGTCACTGATTCCCCCACAAAGCCGCAGAGCCTTGCCACAGTCGCTTCCATATAACGGGACACGTGCCAGAGAACCACCCACCCAGCCACCCCTTCACCCATCAATTCCAGCCCAGTGGCGTAACCTTCTGCAAGGGCGACTGTCGCCGAAGCCAAGGCAGCACGAGGACGTGCACAAGGACGAAGGACGAAGGCGAACCGAAGGAAGCTTCACTAAGCAGCAGCTTTTGAACAGTTTTTTTTGGCCATGTGTGCGGTGCACCAGCCACGGATAGCAAAATATTTGGCTCAGCGATGGGAGCGTGATAAGGTTATATGGATCAGTAAATTATAAATAAATTATTAAATGCATTAACCATATATATACAAATTTAATTAATAAATCTTTGCACCTTAAAATGATTTAGAAAAGCTCTTTCAAGTATTGTTATTGAAATTCGCAGAACTAAATTGTTTTTTCTAGAAAAAGGGTAAAAATTGCTTAAAAACTGTGAAGCAGGTGATTGCAACGATGGTTAAGTTATATATAAAATCAGAGTGCTATTATATTTTGAAAAAATTCTGTAAATTTAAAAAAAATAAATAAAAATATTAGATTTAAATATTTTAAGTATGTTAGAAACTAGTGTTCAGAAAATGGAATTAAAAATCGCAGCTTTACAAATCATTAGCACTCACGAAAATCACTGGCGTGTCACGCTGTCATCGCTATTTCAGACAACTTGTTGTTTTATTTGCTCGTCGTACTTTTATTAAAAACGAACGCTACTTAATCAGCAGCAAAATGTCGCACTTTACTGCGCACCCCCGGAAAATAGAGAGAGAGCAAGAGCCAGAGAAAGCAAAAAGGGGGCAGTAGACGCCGTTTGACTTTTTGCTGTCGTTGCGAAAACAGACTTATCGGCTTTATGTTGTATTTGTTGCCTCCGCTGGCTGAAAAGCTTTCCAAATCGCCTTGTCCCGCTCCATCCGGCCACCCGTTTGGCATGTGCCGCCCCCTTAACACCCGCCCCTCCCCCGCAACAAGGCCCCCTGATAAATGGCATTTAAGCATTAGTTGCTGCGACTGTTTCAGCGGGAACGTGCCCAGCTTTGCGATTCGCGATTGGTAAATTGGGTAATTGAAAACACTTGGCTGTAATGATTTATTATCTATTTGTTTTCCCCAGTCGCTGCTGATGTAACTGATTCGCTGACACTTTATATGCCAGATCATTCAATTAATTGCCATCTTTTTTTGTAGAACTAGCTTAATTCGCAATAGATAGAACGTGAAATGTGTTCTTGAAAATCAAAGCCATTCGCGGAGTTTTAAATAGTTTATAAAGCGTTTTTAAGCCCATCTTCTTTTTTCGAAGATCTTAACATCGAATCACGTTTTGCATTTCTAAAGTAAAACTCAATTTTATTAGAGAATGGATTGCTACTTAAAGATATATCTTAGAGATTTCGGCAATACTTAATTTTTGATTGGGAAACTGGTGAAAAAATAATTATATAAGAACGTGAAACTCCTTAAAAGTCTTCTTAAAAAAGGATACAAACAGTAACAATATAATATAAATAACAAAAAGTAATATTTCAATATTCTGATACATATATTGATCGTTTCTACCGCATTTATATTATAAAGTTGTTTGCTTTTTAAAATGTTAAATACAATATACCTTCTGCAAGGGTATAAACATTATCACATTTCTAATTTAAAGTTGTAAGCTATACGGCAAATTATTTTAAGGGTATTGGTATTAAAAACCAATTAATCAAATGTCTATCGCCCATGACAAACACACTCCCTGATAAGTAATTTAATATTTTAATATACTGTTGACGAATGTGGCGGTAAACAGCTAATGCCCAAAACTATTCTTTTGTTTTTAAATGGGAATGGATGACTAATGGAATAACCGATTTTTGCACCTCAAAAAATTAACGTTTTGCATATCAGCTGAGTTCCATCGATTGTTAAACTTGTCTATGTTGTAAAAAGCTGGCAAAACGAGCAAATATTTTGCGACGCAGTCGCTAAAATAAATATGCTAATTAATCACGTGTTTTATACTTTACTAACCTAGCTTACGTAACTTATATTATCAATGTGTAGCGGAGCAATTTCGCTGGCATTTTTGAGCTCGTGCCGTCGATTTGTCGCGCAAAGTTATTAATGCTAATGGATTGCACTCATTATATGCATAAGCAATTAGTATCGAGTGGGTAGGGCAATCTGCATAGTTTAATAACTTGTTGCTAAAGGCAATATTTAAATTATTAATCAATAGGTCTAAATTCCTGCACATACGTGGGTAAGCAGTGTTCAATCGTTAATGATGTCGATTTACACTTTGTGTAAAAGAACGATGAAAAAAATAAAAATATATTCTGATTCGCTTTTAGCTTATTATAAAAACGGATCATAGTTTTAAAGGCCTCAAAAAGAAGTTAGTTACCTCAGAAAGATAACAATTTGATTGAAAGAATATACAAAATGGTATCAATTTGATAATATTATCAGCGTTATTATCTGTTCAAGGAAAATGTGTACTTACTCTGGAATAGTTAGGATTCTTTGTTGAACTTAAGATTATAACAGATCATGAACTTCCAGTCGTGGTCCAATATTTATTAAATGGATGTATATACAACTAATTCCTTTTGAACCATTTAATTCGAGTTGTCGTTTCTTTTAATTTTAAGCTCGAAGTTTTTGCGCAAATATATTTCTTTACAAGAAAGGAAAGCTAACTTCGGGCGGAGCCGAAGTTGATATACCCTTGCAGAATACTCTGTAAATTATATTCTCCAAAATTATTCATATGATGCATTCTTAATACTCATAAAAAATCCCAACTTATTAACTTTAAAAACACCAAAGTTATGACATTTCCAATCGTTCAGTTATATGGCAGCTATAGGATATAGTCGGCCGATCCTTATGAAATTTGGTAGGTCGGATTGGCTGGCCAAATATAACACCCATAGAAAATGCCAACTTCCTAACTTTACAAACACCAAAGTTATGGCATTTCCGATCAATCAGTTATATGGCAGCTATAGGATATAGTCGGCCGATCCTTATGAAATTCGGCATGTCGGATTGATTAGCCAAATATAAAACCCATAGAAAATCCCAACATTCTAACTTTACAAACACCAAAGTTATGGCATTTCCGATCAATCAGTTATATGGCAGCTATAGGATATAGTCGGCCGATCCTTATGAAATTCGGCATGTCGGATTGATTAGCCAAATACAAAACCCATAGAAAATCCCAACTTCCTAACTTTACAAACACCAAAGTTATGGCATTTCCGATCGTTCAGTTATATGGCAGCTATAGGATATAGTCGGCCGATCCCGGCCGTTCCGACTTATATACTGCGTGCAAAGGAAAGAAGGGTGTGTGCAAAGTTTCAATTCGATATCTTTAAAACTGAGAGACTAGTTCGCGTAGAAACAGACAGACGGACAGACAGACGGACAGACGGACAGACGGACAGACGGACAGACGGACAGACGGACAGACGGACAGACGGACATGGCTATATCAACTCAGGAGGTGATCCTGATCAAGAATATATATACTTTATAGGGTCGGAGATGTCTCCTTCACTGCGTTGCACACTTTTGACCAAAATTATAATACCCTCTGCAAGGGTATAATAACGATGTGAATATTACTTGTCAAATGCTCCGCGTGGAATCACAATTCCTTATATAGGATTTTGTAGTATTAAACGCAGTAAAGAATTCCAAGGGGCATGGCCAACTTATACCAGTTAAACTTAACCCGGCCTGCTTTGTTTTATAAGCTTTTGATGGGTTATAAAATTATTTCTTGGCATTATGCCAATCTCGTTAGCCGTAAATCACTCCCAATTAAGAACGTATTAGTTTTAGGGTGCCCATAAAATGGGAATTGTGCGAATCTAATCTACGTCGGCAATTTTCGAGTGTCGAGCGAGATCGGTGGCGGGCGATAAGTGCCAAAAATAAACGAAGTAAGCCTCAACTTTGATCCCCGATCCGAAGGCAATATGCTCGGGTATAACCATTAAAATTAATGAAGAGGGAAGGCAGATGCAGGGCCCCCGAGAACGAGACAGCGATATATATGTTTGTATGTTGATGGGAAGGGAATAACAAAATGAGCGTTAACCAAGCGAATCCTCGGCACGTTTTGGAATTTACACGAGGCCAGGAGTTACGGGGACTT